GTGTATTGGCGTAAGTGCATTGTTTTAAAATTGGTATTTTTTAAACCACAAATCTACCATTTCTTTAAATATGTTTATCCTCCGGAAAGGAGGATAAACATGCATTAAATATTGATCTCTATAGGTGTAACATTATATCAAGTCCATTTTGTTCTTATGAAGAAGTAGAAGACACACATTATTTTTTCTCTTGTTCTAATTATACTAAGGCCAGGAAAGATTTTTTCGATAAGTTTTTGAGATTTGATAAGGTTCATATTGTACCCATACTTTACTGTGGGGGGATACTTCACTAAGCGTTGCTGAAAATGAATATCTTTTTTCCATTGTGCATTCATATATTCAGCACTCTGGCAGATTTACATAATTTATTGTAAATGTTTATGTATTGCATTTGTATATCACAAATTTTCTTGCAGTTTATAAATTCATGTTATGAGTTTATCAAAGAACTGCGAACGATAGCATTGTTCTCCCGCCTACCTCCAAGTCAATTTTCAAAAGTTAACACATTTGAATGATTTTTCATATCTATATAGATATTTATATGAAATTTCATAAAACATTGTTTCTTTGGGAAAACAAAGAGAGATAACTCTATAATTTTGGTAAAACTTGTGTTTTTCACTATAGAAATCAATGGAAAACGGAAAATATTTTTAAAACATCTCCCTCCCCCTTGAAACAAAAATTCCTTTTTACAGGTAATATGGACTATTATTTCACAAATTCATGCCAAAGCTTTTTGTGTTTCACGGGGGGGGGGGGGGGGGGGGAGGACATATGTCTACAGACAAAAAAACTACAATAATGCTTATTTTTGTCCCCCAATTTCAAAGGGGTTTACAACTAAAGCATCGCATTTTATTGATGATATATGTTTAATTTTATATGAGTAAAACATAACAAAAGATTTAAGGAACATTTATTCATATCCAAGAATATTTTAAAATGTGGTGATACTTTAAAGCCCAATTTCAATGAAAAATATCGTCTACCCCCCTTATTTAAATAGCTGGAATTAGGGATAATTAACTATTTAACACTGGAATTAAAATTATCAGTCAATTACCATTGAACTGTTCCTTGCATTCAACAAAGATTTTACGGCCAAATTGCCATTAGTATTGATTTAAATGGGTGTAAAATGTAGGCGGGAATCAAGAGTTAGCGTGCGTGGTTCTTTATTTCTAAAACTGTGTAACACATGTAACTCAAACTTTATTGACTTCTCATGTAGGGAGAGGGCGTAATAAGTTTTAAGAACTTGTGCCCAATCCCATTGTATATTTATTGCAATAAAATATGTTCAATTCAATTCAAGGAATAAGAACTTTTGAAATTATGCTTTAATTAGTCTTAAACTAAGGATAAAAACTAAAATCGTTTAGTGCAACAATTTTCATTTCATGCTTCTTAATATCATCGATGATGATTTCAGTGTGTTGTGTTGGTTGGGTTACAGGGATAGCACATACTAACTACACTTAATAAATCCCTGGTGTACATGTATAAGCTATGTTTTAGAAACTGAATGAATTAAAAGGTTTCAAAACATATTATTTTTCGAATTCCACTAAAATCCATTGTTTATTATTATTAAATCCTGGAATATATTTATTGGTGATTTTTTATTGGAAATGTATCATTAAGTATTTTATTCCCCTTTTTAAAGAAAGAGTGGAAACTTTTAATTTTTGCTGTATAATGTAATAGACAGTATTAATATGCTGCTTCAAATGGCATGAATACACACATCTCATTTTCTATAAAATGGCATGGATAGACACATTTTATTTTATATAAAATAGCATGGACAGACGCACTTAATCTTGTATAAAGTCACAGACTTTTGTGACCAATTTCTGATTTTCAGAACCTAAAGGATGGAGAACCTTAAACATCATAAATTTCTCATTTTGTTTCAGATGCCACAAATTCATTTCAAATGCGGAAGCCTTTCACCAGCATACTGTGACGTTTCTATACGAGTGAAAAAAGTCTCGAATGGGACTTTAAACAACATACAATCAATCAACCAATCATTTGCGGAAAATAATAATCCGATTTTTCAAATGCAATTTATGTTTGTGAGATAAATGTTTATATCAATACACCTTGATCCTACAGTTTATAATGCTGAAACTATATCATAACTAATGGTCAAAAAGACTTCCTGTCAGAAATAAATTGATTGTCTGAATACAAGATTTAATACATGTATATTTCACTGCCTTATAATGTCCGCCAAAAATTACCAATATAACTATATAACTTAAATGAAGAATTTAGACTGACAGAAAGTATAGGGATGATTTTACTTGAATAAGTAAAATTCAATACAAAATACATTTTTGTATATAAGGTTTTACTAGTTCAATTGATGACCCTGGAGAAGCAACAAAGAAAGGAGGCGGATCCAAGTGATGTTATATAATATTGAGAGGAATGAATAATTGTATATTCATTGATTAATGCTTATACACGAGATATAGTGAATGTGCATATTTTATTATGTTACAACCACAGGCCTTTGGATCGCTTAAATCCGACTTTAAAAAATCGGGGTGTATAAAAAAGATATTTTTTTTAACACCTTAATTTTTTTAAAGCGATCTAAGGGCCTGTGGTTACAACAATAGTCATTGAAGAAAAAAAAAACATTTATACATGTGTATATAAAGAAACATGATAAAAGGATTATATATATATATATATATATATATATATATATATATATATATATATATATATATATATATATATATATATATATATATATAAAGCACTAAAAACCAACAACACTGTATATCCTAAGTGTCGGATCTACTAAGTAGATACAAGGTCACGGATGGAAATTTATATAAAGCACTAAATATGACCAACGACACGAACAATAATAATTGTCAAATTTTCGGGACGACCTGTCCCTTCCTCAGGACAAAGAAAAAAGTTAAGAAGTCATAAAAACAAAGGAAATAGAGAAGCAAAAACAACTAGCACTACTACTAAACTACCAAACACTAAATATTTACAATGTTACATGTTTAATTGGGAGTTTATAAACAGTTGTGAACAAAGAAATCCGGAGCGCTATGAATTGCGTCCGGTCTATCTGGTGTACTCTGGTGAAGTGTGATTTACATAATTGAACGAATTAATTATTGCTAATTAATTACGACCAACAGTAAATCGTACATTGTCTTATTCTCTCAAATTAGCGTAACTCTACATGATAAAAAGAAATTAAAGAAAGATAATATGGAAGGACAATTTTGAAATATGAATTTGGATATATTATAAATTTGGAAATCGGAAAAAAGAAATAAACAAAAATGTAAGCTGTAAATATTTGGGTAGGTTGTTCCAGGATTGCTAATACGAATTAACGGTAAAGTTTACACTATGTATAGAGAGAATGAACTTGTTTGTTACAATCCGGAATTGGGTCTAGTTCACGTTCATCCTGGTGAAGTCATTAAGTTTGTTAATACCATTAGGGCGGAATGACTTCAGCCTGTGCATCCAGAACTTTTCCTTGCCTTTTCTCTGCGTGTCTGTCCATCTTGGATTATGGTCAATAACCACTACTGTCATGTCCTCCCATTTGTGACCTTCAAGGTTGAAATGTTCCCCAACGGGTTCATTGAGTTTTTTGGTCCTAATGGTAAAACGGTGATTATTGACTCTCCTGCGGAGATCTCCTGTTTCACCAGCATACTGTTTGGAGCAAACTTTGCAACTGATGAGATAAATGCAGTTGTCTGTTTGACAGGACAAATTCTCTAGTATTTTGTAGCTGCGGCCTGTAACGGGGCTGTTAAAGCTGTCTGTGTCAGAGCTGTACTTACAGAGAAGACATCTTCTGTCAGAGCAAGTTTTAAAGCCCCCGTTAGGTAATGGATTGTCCAATCTGGTTCTTACTACCATGTCCTTTAGGTTCCTCGGGCGTCTGTATGCAGCCAATGGGGGCTCCTTAAAGACCTCTGCCATTCGTTTATTTGAGTGGAGAATTGGCAGATTCTTTTGAAGGATAACCGCTGAGGTTTTTAAGGACGGGATGGTATGTCGTTACCAGAGGGACCCTGCCGCTATTGTTTTTTTCCTTGTAGCGTAATAGGTTTTGCCTGTCATGTCCCGCCATCTCATCAATAGCAGTTTGTACGGTGCGGGCATTGTAGCCTCTCTTGCATAAGTGGGACTTAAGGAGACCGCTTTGTTCTTGATATAAGGCAGGGGATGAACAGATGCGCCGAATTCTGGTGGCTAGACCCTAGGCACACCCTTAAATGTGTGTGGGGGATGACAGCTAGTTGGCATAAGATACAGATGGGAATCTGTGGGTTTCGTGTGGAGACTGAACTCGATTTCACCATCAGTCAGGGTAGATGTAGTATCTAGGAATATGTTTTTCGAATTAGATACGTCTACTGTAAATTTGATAGACTGATGAAAGGTGTTGGCAAACGAAATGAATGCCTCGAGGCTCTCGCGACATTCCACCCACTTCATCTCTATATCGTCAATGAAACGCAAGCAGCTAAGGGGCCTAAATGGTGCTTGAAGTAGCAAGTTGCGCTCCAGTCTGCCCATGAAAATATTGGCATAAGATGGTGCCATTTTCGTACTCATAGCAGTGCCATTAACCTGCAGGTAATGTTCTCCATTAAACATGAAGTTGTTATACTTGAGAACATGTTCAAGGAGCTTGACAAGGGACTCGGTAGAAGGAATTTGTATGGATCTACTCTCCCAGACTTCTCTACAGGCTTCGATACCCTCATCGTGCGGAATATTGGTGTACAAAGATGGGACGTCCATAGTCACGAGAAGGGTATGATCTGGAAGGCCAGTAGAGGGCGTCTTGTTAATGTAGTCCGTGGTGTCCTTGAGATAGGATGGCAAATTCTCTACATGTGGACGGAGATGTAAATCGATGTATTCAGAAATTTTCTCCGTGGGGTGTCCAATAGCGCTAACTATAGGGCGACCTGGCATACCTTCTTTGTGTATCTTAGGAAGCAGATAAAATTGTCCTGGTCTACAGTCAATAGGATTGAGTGTCTCATAGACGTTGATACCAATCTCGTTTTTCTCAAACGTTTCGTCAAGAGTTTTGGTGATGGCGGTGGAGAATTCTTTAGTAGGGTCAGAGTCCAGTTTCTTATAGAAACGTTCGTCTGAGAGTTGTCTATGGGCCTCCGCCATGTACGTCTCTTTATCAAGTACTACTACTGTAGAGCCTTTGTCTGCTTTCTTGATTACAATGTCATCCCGATTCTTTAATGATTGTAAGGCGGATCTCTCTTCCTTACTCAAATTGTCGGGAGCCTTGTCTGGCATTGAAAGGAGTTTCTCTATGTCTGACTCAACGGCGTCAATATACGACTCAAGGGCTCCGCATTTGCCCGGTGCAGGTTCCTAGTCACTTTTTGGCCGATAGAGTTTGTGTTCCTCTAGGTCGTGCAATTGTGGCTGAGAAGAGTCATAAGAGTCAACTTCGGAGTCTTTTCTAGAAAAGTGCTCCTTCAACCGAAGTCTCCGAAAGAAAGCTCGGGTGTCCTCTCTGACTTGTTTTTCGTCGACCTCATGTGGCGTGGGACAGAAATTTAGCCCCTTGGAAAGAAGTGAGGATGCACAGGCTGAAGTCATTCCGCCCTAATGGTATTAACAAACTTAATGACTTCACCAGGATGAACGTGAACTAGACCCAATCCCGGGTTGTAACAAACAAGTTCATTCTCTCTATATAGTGTAAACTTTACCGTTAATTCGTATTAGCAATCCTGGAACAACCTACCCAAATATTTACAGCTTACATTTTTGTTTATTTCTTTTTTCCGATTTCCAAATTTATAATATATCCAAATTCATATTTCAAAATTGTCCTTCCATATTATCCTTCTTTAATTTCTTTTTATCATGTACAGTTACGCTATTTTGAGAGAATAAGACAATGTACGATTTACTGTTGGTCGTAATTAATTAGCGATAATTAATTCGTTCAATTATGTAAATCACACTTCACCAGAGTACACCCGATATACTGGACGCAATTCATAGCGCTCCGGATTTCTTTGTTCACAACTGTTTATAAACTCCAAATTAAACATGTAACATTGTAAATATTTAGTGTTTGGTAGTTTAGTAGTAGTGCTAGTTGTTTTTGCTTCTCTATTTCCTTTGTTTTTATGACTTCTTAACTTTTTTTCTTTGTCCTGAGGAAGGGACAGGTCGTCCCGAAAATTTGACAATTATTGTTCGATTGTTCGTGTCGTTGGTCATATTTAGTGCTTTATATATATATATATATATATATATATATATATATATATATATATATATATATATATATATATATATATATATATATATACGAGGGGTAATCAAAAAGTTCGCGAACTACCTCTATATTTACAAAGCAAAAATTCAGATCAGAAAGAAATTTGGCACACCTAAAGTCATACATATATTCTATAAATAGCAGGTGTTATATAATGTTTTGCTCCGTGTTTGTGACGTCACAAAGTGAAAATGACGTCAATATGTAGGTGACTTGTGACAAAAAATGGTTGACTCAGTCGTACTCGAGCAACGAACGGCTGTGAAGTTTAACATATATCTTAGAAATTCCTTTGCAGTAGAAGATAATAATTTGTACAAGGTTTATGAAGACAAAAGACTTACCAGACGTTCAATCATTAATTGGATTGATTGTTTTAGTAAAGACAGGGCGATGGTTAAAAATGATGTTTGTTCTGCTGCCCAGCGAAAGCAAGTCGGGGAAAAGATGTGTCCTTAGTTGAGCAATTTGTTATGAAAGATCTCCAAGTTACGATTAGAAAAATAGCTGAATACCTTAACAATAATATCATTATTAAATCCCTAAGATATCGTTTACTTCAGACTTTAAACATATGAGATATGATAAAAAAAAAAGTTCGTCCATACTTTATCCACATTGAATAAACGACATTCCCGAGACAGAGGACTCGGGTTTTGATGATCACCATGCTAATTCTGGGAAGGGATGTCCTTATCCACCCATCCTATTGCCGAGATTTGGCCATTTCTGACAGATGCACTGTTCTTGTTATAAAAAATAACTTGCATGGTAAGAAATATAAGACTCGGAAAAATCTTTCAGCTTCTGTGAACAGAACGCCACGGAGCATGTCACGTGACCGCCTGGATCACGTGATTTGCGCATGAGCAGAACAGTGGCAGATGTGCATTATAATCGGAGAGGACTACTTTAAAAAATAATGAGCACTGAAACCTCATTTTATATCTTTTAAGGAAGTAATTCAATTAGTTCGCGAACTTTTTGATCACCTCTCGTACATGTATATGTCATTGTGATCACAGAGGACGCAAAATCGTTTATCTTTAGGTACTTTTTGTATTGTCCAATTTTAATTTTTATCGTGTCGCCCGCGTGGTGCAGTGGTAGATCACCAGCTCTAAGTATGGAGTTGATCCTTACGTCGTCGGTTCGATTCCCCTGTAGGACGTGGAGACCGGTCTTTCGGAAGAGACCCAAAAAACCGAGGTCCCGTGTCGCAGTAGGTGCTTGCACAAAAAAGAACCCCGACTGCTCAAATGCCTTAAGTGCCGAGTACAGGTCTAAATTTGCAGCCCTCTACCGGCAAGTGGTGGCGTCTCAATATGAGTGAAAAATTCTCGATGGGACGTTAAACAAACAAACAAACAAACAATTTTTATCTGCAGCAGGAGCGGTCGTTCTGTTTGTGATTGTATTAGAAAGTGCACATGGGGAAATGAGATTTTATTGGTTCGGTACAGTGTAAATAATTCATTAGTAGTAACATGTACAAAAATTACGAGTAAATTATTTTAAAAAATTGCTTTAAACAAATTCTTATTTTCTATTATATTTGTCAAATTAATTTTTATTTTCTCATTAGATAATTATTAATTCATGACTTTATAAAAAGTTTACAATAGGTACTCCCCAAGATGGGATTTTCAATAACGTGTACGCAAATCGTTAGATTTTTCGGTTTCTAATATTACAGTGGCAAACATGATGAATAAAAAATGAAAAGTTGGTAAAAAAAAAAAGTAAAAATTGTTTTGAATATGCTATGCTGCTGCGAATGACAAAACGATAATTTCTTCTTCACTTTGTATTCATTGTGTTGTCCGTCACTGGGGCGGTGCAGCATAGTCTGTAGAAATCATCGGCATCATCACATGAGAAGATCCAGAGTGTATATCTGAACATAACAATACATTATTATCATTTACCACTGATTTTCATATACATGTACATGTACATGTAAATCAGTTTGATTACAAATGCACTGAAAGCACGTGTCATTTCTACACATATTGCTTTTTTTTTTTTGGTTTAGATTTTGCTTAGAAGACAGTCTGAAATATCTTGCGCTTTTCTTGGACGCTAAATTCTTAAAAGGCTTTATTTTGTTTGCGACCGAATTGATGCTTGCATTAATTTTACTTGTAAGTGTATGTGCTGCTATTCGTGATGTTAAAATATCTTGATAGTTCAAAACAAAGTTAATCTTCAGGCTGGTGAAGGTAGATAATTTTCATGCAATTTACTTGAATTTGATTGGTCGAGAAACATTTGTTAAAAAACACTGTTATACTCTGAATGAGGAAATCACGCCCCCAGGTCCGATAGAACTTAGCAACAGTCAACATTGCTTGACGACGGTCGATATTATAAAAAATTATATATATAGTGGTTACGCGTAATCTTTGCGCGAGCGCTTCATCTTTATTTGTCTTTGTATAAAACATTCAGTATAATATAATAAATACTGCATGCAGTTGAGGGTAACATTGAAAATTTTCACCCCTCGAAAACCAATGTCAACCTCGACTGCGCCTCGGTTGACAATGGTTTTCTTGGGATGAAAATTTTCAATGTTACCCTCAACTACATGCAATATTTATATAATCCTTATGCATATTCCTATCTTTTCTCATGTAGGGTCGGGACGGTTTAGCAATACAATTTTCCCCGAAGTGACTTTCCAAAAACGTCATTTATTAAGGAGTCATTGTCTAGTTTGTTGGGTATGCTCGGGACATTAACGACAGTTGGAAACGGAGGATAATTTGCATATAAAGAAGCCCGTTATGCATAAATTATCACCCGTTTCAAACTGTTGATAATGTCCCGGACATAACCAACAAACTACACAGCAATTCCTTATATTTACATTTATTGAAATGTAAATATAAACCAATAATTCTGTCTAATAGATATGAAATACACTAGGCATTCCATGTTTATTTCCATAGTACCTGTCAATGACGTCAGACACAATAACTGATAAGCAGCACTTGACGTTGCATTTGGCGAGATTTACATTCAGTTATAATTATCGAGAAATCAACCCATAAAACTTTCAGTTATCACAAAGAAAACAATTAGAAATATTAATGCATATTAATATGGTTAAGTATGAGGTTGATTCAAGAATGCTACAAGTAGAGCTTTTTTCAAAAAAGCTTACCGTCTTTAGCAACAACCTTAACAGTAAACTGACCTACATGTAAACCTATCAGGCCGTATATTTCTTGAAAATTTCTTGGCTTTGTATTTCTTCATTAGTTTTTTTTCTGACATAAGCCCTACCAGTTGAAAGGTTAAGATGCTCGGCTGTCTCCTAAACTTCGACTCTGCTGCCGAGATCATTCGGCAAACCTCGGTTGACTCCGTCTAGATGAGGTGCAAATCGGCCGAGGTGTGCCTAGTGCTGCAGAAATTAGAAAGACAATGCAAAACAAAGGGAGAAAGAATACATACAAGCTGTAAAGCTTGCAGGCATTAAAGATCAATTCTGTTAACAATGAAAATATAGAAACGTTTTTTGGTAATTGCTATTAAAAAAAAAACTAGCATGTTATTTCGAATTAATTACTGTCAATTTCCACTGTTCGTTTTGTCATTACCGTCTTCCTTGAAAAATTGTTAAGTCGTACGAAAATTAGATCATCAGAAAATTATCTCCCTTGCCTTGATTAGCTTTTCAACCAATGAAATAATTGAAAATTTTCTCATCACGCAATTTCTACCAATCACAAAAGAGAGGAAGTGCATTGTCCGAAGACTGTAAAATACTTCAACTCTGTATACCGTCTTCCAAGGAAGACGGTAATGAAGTAAAGCCTTTTTGTAAAATAAGTAAGGGACATTAACCTTCAAGATTCTCTAATCTATGTCAGTATAACAACATATTTTTAATGACATCAAAGTACATGAAATTGACCTACCTCAGATCTCAAAGCAAAGTTGCGGCATTTACAGTAAACCATTTACAAAAGTTTATAGAATTTTAAATGAC